CAAACGGTCGGATAGTCGATTCATATAATGACCTATTAACATAACTTAGAGAATTTAGATTCTAACAATCAACCTACGTCATACAATTACCAAAACTAAACTCATTTTATTTAGCCTAAGAATAACATCGAGGGCCTCATGGCCACGCGCCGCCGCGGGTGGCGATCGGCCGCCCCGACTCTCCGGAAAATCCAACTATTTTCAAAAATTATCAAAATTTACAGGAATGAAGATCGCAAAGAGGGGAACACCTTCATACCTGCCACAAGTCCAAAAGTGGACGGAAGATGGTCAATTTTGCCCACAAAGCTGGCGGGTGCCTAAAGCTTCCTGGTGTCGATTCGTCGTCTATGGTGGTCCAACGGGGTCAAGGTTGGTTGGGTTTTACTCCTGGGATGATGGGCTACAAAGCCCAAGTGGTGGCATCGGCCATCGCTTTGCCAATTTGCCGAAAATTGAAAAGGGTGGCCAGAGCATTATTGATTTTCGTCGACTTTCGTGGCCTCAAACCACCACATACCGTGGTTAATCAAGGTGGTCTTGGGTGGGTTTTGTAGAGGGGAATGAGAGCTTCAAGATGACGGTGGTGCCGTCGAAAAATTCCACTGTAGTTGGCTGGAATCGGCCTTGGAAGTTGGGTGGTCGCGGTGGTGGCATGCACAGGAAAGTTGGGAGCTTTCTCCTTTTTTTTTTTTTTTCTTTTCTGATTTCTGATTGGGCAGCTGCCCTTTTTCTACTTTTTTTCTAATTGGTCATCCTTAACCAATTAATTAACTTTAAATAACCAACTTCAAACGTTCATAACTATACCATTATAATCCGGACTCGCAAATGGCTTTCGCCTATGTGTTCGTACCAACGAGTACTACTTAAATACGCCAAAAGAATAAGTCATACGTTCCTCTAGACGATGGTCAACAGAAATCAAAATCCTTGCCTCTAGGCATTTTCGTCAATTCCCTCGATTAAAATAAATAAAAAATGAAATTTTAGGGACGGGTTGTCACACGGCAATTTTTGACACGACACAAAAACAACACGAAAATAATGGGTTTCGGGTCAACACGATAATTAATCAAGTCATTATCGGGTGGCCCGTTAATAACGGGTTCTTTACATGTATACATGCTGGTAACACGTGGATAACCCGTTTTGACCCTTTAAGAAAAAAATTATTTTGATAATTTTAAAGTTTAATTATCAAAAGATTTATTATAAAATAAAATAGCCATATTAATATATACAATATATTATATATTAAATATATAGTTTTGTATTATTATTCTATATAAGTTTTAAAAAAAAAGTTTTAGTTATTATTTATTTTTATTATGGGAGTTCCTTATTATCATTACTAGGATAAATTTTACTCAACATGTTGTTGTCCAAAATTAAAATAAACTAGTATAGTATTTGTATAGGCAAGAACTAAGAAGACATACATACAAGTACGAAAAAACGTGAAAGAATATATAAACACTCCTGATTCATCATTATTCATCCACGAGTAGATAATGGTTACACTTACATTATCGTTTAGATTTTTAAAATCCTCCAAACCTTCATGAATAATGCTTTTTATTTGAGGGAAAAATTAATAAAATTAATAATAATTATTGTAGACGTGTAAAAAAATGTAAAATATATATAATCACTCATAGTGACAAACTTTACAACTTTCATGAAAGGGTCAGCTTTGAAATCCAACACTATAACACTATAATCCATAAACCTTAAATTTATATTTAACCGTCGATTGTCATTTACGCTTTATTCTTCTTACTGAATTTCATTTTTAAAATTTTCTTTTTTGAAAACATGATCATCTAGCAGATGTAAGAAGATGAACGATTCAAATCTTTGATATCACGTTTCGATATTTACACTAAAATATAAGTCGATGTCATATAGTTTGTAGAAACTTTATAAATATCAAGCAATATTTTCACTAACCGTAAAACTCTGAATATAATATCAATGATCCAAATTGTTCATCTTCCTGCTTCCTCTAATAGATCATGTTTTCAAAAAAGAAAATCTGAAAGAAAAAAAAAACAAAATTTATGAGAACAATAAAGCGTAAATGTAAACAACAATCAACGGTTAAATTTTGATCTATGATTTATATGATTATAATGGCGAATTTCGAAGTTAAGCTCTTCATGAAAGTTGTAAAGCTTGTTATTACGAGCGTTTATATATTTTTTTCTATATTTTTTACACTTCTACATTAATTAAAAAACTATTAAAGACTTTACTTAATTAATTAATTTATACCCATTTTGTTTCAGAAGCAATGGATGCTAGAAATTCAGATTCAGTAAACCTTAGTGATGAGGAGTCCGTGGAGATTATAATGGGAACATAACGAGATCTTGAAAGCGAAAGTATAGATAATACAAATACGAGTCTTGCAAAGAAAAAGGCTAGAGCAATCAATTTAGGTAAGCGAAAATATACTTAAAAGAAAATTGCGTTTTTATGTTTTGGATGTGACAATATGGTATGCATATACTTATTTAGTATTATGTTTTTCATTTGATTATTTATTGGTTTAAAATATATTTTCCTTAATTGGTAATGGATCGAGTCATATTTCCTGTTAATATTATCGGGTCGGGTCATTTTACCTGTTTATTTTAATGGGTGTTACATGACACGATTCATTAAGATATCTGATATGACACGAAAATGACAAGAACACGGAAAATACGACACAAATGTCATGTCTACTCACTAGTATTCCTTTCAAAAAAGTATAAGTACCTTATAAAAATAGACATACCTACAAATTAGTAAATGAATGATTTAGCTTAAAAACTCTTTATTATGTAATGAACACTATTAGGCGAGATGTCTAACCTAAACAAATAGGAATCGTCAACTCATTAAAATTGTCTCATAAAAAAAATTCATTAAAATTGTCTCATAAAAGAAAAACTCATTAAAATTGACATATATAATGGTGGATTAACTACAATAAACTCGCAAGTGGCTCTTTACCATAGTGGTGAAGAGTGTTGTCATTCCATCATGAAGTGGATTCAAACCCTCGTTAAACTCCCTAAAAAAGTATTAAAAAAAGTCAAATACAAGTAATGTTAAAAGAACTAAAGGGAAGGCGAAGAAGGGATATCACACACGCGTGGGAGTATTTACATCGTCATCCTGGTCAATGGTGAGTACATAAATCCCCATAAATTGTAGTTTCAATTTAGACACATGTATTGTTTCTGAACGGATATCGGTTTCAATGGACTTATGATATGAAAAATCACTGTTTGTTTATACGAAGGACTTTGAGTTTGTTACATAAATCCCCATAAATTGTAGTTTCAATTTAGATGCATGTATTGTTTCTGAACGGATATCGGTTTTGGTGGACTTATGATATGAAAAATCACTGTTTATTTATACGCAGGAGTTTGAGTTTGTTTCTAAGCGAAAATTTGAAGAGGACGTTGAACGTCACCGTCAAAGTCCCGGATTACTAGAATGGTAAAGCTTCGCCTGCTACCATGGCTATTCCAATGGGCAATCAGACCCAGGTTTCTCTTCCTGGGGTCGAGAGCAGCCGACTGAGGGTGGTGGAGAGAGCCGGAGAGAACTTGGAAAATGAGATACCTGAAGATAGTAGATGAACAACATGTCGTTTAAGAACAAAAATAAAATGAAAAATGAAAAATGAAAAATAAAAAATGGAGATGCAAGTTATCGCTCGAACCTCGTACTTGCTTATATTCCAATGGGTGTCAAACATGCACATATTTGTTTTTATTAATGCCAAAAAAACAGTCCAATTGGACTCCAAATAGAAAAATTGAGTAATATGAGTATACCCAACCAAGACCTCAAATTTAAAATTCAGTTAGAAGTTAGGACCACATCCACAAATCAATTTAAATTGCTTCCCTCCAACAGTGACGCCTGATTTTTCCTAAAGTTAGAATTTCAGCATGAAAACTGTTATCCACGTTGTTCCCCTCCCTGTTGGATACTACCTTCTTAACAGCAACTGTATGACCCGTCGGTAAGACTGCTTTGTACACGGTCCCACAAGCTCCTCTTCCAATTGCAAAGCTCTCGTCAATATTTTCAGCCACCACCTTACCATCACCATCTCCACTACGTCTACTGCCTTGGTTAGTTCAACACCCGGTTGTTGTGGTCGTTAGAACAACCAATTTCCCAATGAATATTCTCATCTTTGAATGGCTCCCTAATCTAACATATTTATCATTTGATCCAAAAAAATAAAAAATAAAAAAATAAAAACTACAATAGACTTAATTATGTATGGTATCAACCCAAAATAAAACATAAAATACTCATATATATCTTTTCCACACAAAAAGGGATACTCGACACGTGAAGTGGCCCAATAAAAATAGTCCACATTTCATATCTAAAATCTCTCAAATAGCTATTTTTTAACCCAATCCTTCTATTTTCCATCGACTCCATTCCCTCTTCCCAGCGACCGTAACCCCAATCTTATCCAGCGAAACCATCCTCTTCCTCCCCTCTGCTATGGCTCTTCATCATCACACCCTATATAAAACAAATAACAATATCCTTTCTTTTCCATGAATTCCACTACCAAAATACCTCCCTCGAACCTTTCACTCACCGAGGGTTATGTGTTTGCAGATTCACAAGGACAGGTGTCATTCCTTAATTGTGCCACATAATAAGTTCAGTATACTGGGTCCCGACTGGCAAGGACCTAAGTATTGTCCCACAAAAATGTATGGACTTTAGACCACCAACACAAAGACCCAAAGCCATAGAAATTAGGGAGTTTTAACAAAAACACTTCCGGTACTGCTTATTTTTAACGAAAAATCATATTTTTACATTTAACTGGCACAATTTATTATACCTTTAAAAATAGTTTTTCGTTAAAAGAAAAGTTTTTTTTAGATTTTTCGTTAGTTTTCCTTAAAAATTACTCAAAAAAAAAAAAAAAAAAACCGCTGTCTATATAAGCCTTGAAAAAATTGATGACACCGAAGGTCTCAGACGCATTGCATGACCTTTCTACCTAACCTACTCATCCACCCGCCACATTCTTCTCTCCTCGATCAGGGGCTTAGAGTTCATCCATATGACCGAAAACCCAACACTCTATTTTTGGAACCCCAAAACCAAAAACCACCATCGGATGTACACAAATACACACACTCCAATGGATCACCCAAAACACTCCTCTCTCGGATTACATCTTACCTTCCTCTCTTTACTCTTGGCTTGCGTTGTTTATCTTTGCATATGGTTGTCTTCGTCCTCTCTCATAAACCCTCTCTTTCCCTTTCAGAAACATGACGTCGACTGCACTGCGCAAATCCCGGTAAGTAATGAATTCAATGCTTTTAATCATCTGAGCCACAAGCGAGATTTCCGATCACCAGTATGTTCAATTTTCTGAATTTTAGTTTTTTTCGCAGATCGCAGCCGTGACCACCACTACGGAATTTAATGTGGTGGAAGACGAGCTTGAGACCGTCTTAGCCAAGGCCTCCATGGATAACAAAAGCGTGATCATTGCCGTTATCAACAAGGCATATGCAGTCCAAGATGTGAAGGCAGACACCACCATGCTTGACCTTTTCATTGAGAGTTTCTGGCAAGGGGAGGGGACGAGGACGTTGGTCGACCACCTTGTCCTTGTGGCGGTTGATCAAATCGCCTACGACCGCTGCATGTTTCTGCGGCTCAATTGCTACCGGTTAGAGACGGACGGTGTGGATTTTGGGGGAGAGAAGATTTACATGTCTGAAGACTTTATCAAGATGATGTGGAGAAGAACTTGGTTGCTGTTGGAGGTTCTCAAGCGTGGCTACAGCTTCGTGTTCACGGTAACTTCTAATCTTTGTTTTATTATTTCTTTAATCAATAGTTTAAACCACCACGCAGCCACACTAATGGTGTCGGTTATGGCATATACATAAATGGAAAGGAAACAGCACTGAATAAAATGTATACGGTTTTAGATAGGGGTGCGGCGGGTTGGACAGGATGGATGGTCAATCAACCTTAATCCAACTTTTATAATTTGGGTTTGGGTTAGGTTAGAGTTTAAACCCAACCTAAGTTGCACTGTTAGTTTTAGATGGATCTTGCCGTAAGATTTTTGCCTCTCTTTCTTTTTCTCCATTTTTATTTAGAGAGCTACTAGACCCATCCCATTATCTTATTTCTCTCCTCATGTTATAATCTCACCACCATAAAAAATTGGAAAAATTAAAATTCAATTTTCCCACCCACTTTTATTCCTAAAATATCCTCATTAGCACTCTCACTCCACTCCGAGCTTGTCTCTAGAATTATTGCACCAATGGAGAAATAATTTCAATTAAAACATCCAGCCAAAACAAAAACATTAAATTTGAACCGGAGAGTGGCCGGAGAAAGCAGTAAGCAAACTTTGGTTGCCTGCTGGTTATTGTGTTTGTCTTTGTCTTCAAGATTTTTATGAGAATTAATTTGCAGAAAATGTAGAAAATAGTATGGAACCAGACCGATTTCAAGCTGAGTCGCATTGGGATTTTATCGGATGAGTTAGGGTTTAACGGTAGATAAAGTGTTTGTAAACAGAGGCCTATCTTTTAAGGTCATTATCGATCATTTTACAAATGAGCAAACTTGTAATTAAAATTTTTATTAAAAGGTGGGTAGGGAGATAAGAAACTGGTGGGAATACCAACACTATTTATTTTTTGGAATATTTAGAAGTGAAAGCGATTGACAATGGGGTTTTTTTTTTTTTTTTTTTTTTTTTTTTTTTTCCCAATGTGGGCAAATTCTATTTAGTTCATTTAAACAACAAACTGGGAAAATTTAAAACGAAAAACAAACATGAAAGCATAAGAGCGTGTTATGAGAGTATGAATACCGATTCGCTGAATTAAAAGTATACGTTTATATGTGCCGGTTATATTTATCAACATCTGTTTAAAATGTTTTATAAGTGACAAGAAAAAAATTAGGGCGAATTTAGAGTTCAATATCCTGTAATGTAAGCAAAATAAAAGTGAATTCATGCACGATTAAGCTTTTGGTGATGCACATTTAATGAATGTGATGGGTTGGTGGGTATCCAGTAGAGTACAAGCTGGATGGGATGGTGCCTTAGACAGCGATACTTAGGGGTTTGATTACTTTTATGATTGACTTTGTATACAAGAACCAAGAAAAATAAGATATTGTTGGTAAATAATGCGGAGGGGGTGGATTTAGTTTTACGCTAGTAATAATATGATTTAAATTCATTTTCGTCTTCAAGGTATGTGAGTTTTGTGAAATTTTCGCCGGTATTTAGATTATTTTATCGATAAGAGGTGTAGAAATTGTTTCACCTTCCTTTCTATATCGATGCTTCAAAATCACGATATATAACAAATATCTAATAAATAAATAATGTAGCGTTAGAACACATTACAATTATCTTTATCATTGATACAACCAAGGTATAAAATATCGATGATATCGGAAATATCGGTAGTCCAAAAACACCGAAATTTCGATTGAAATATCGGGATATTATCGATATCGATAAAAATTAAATAAAAACCACGGAAATTGTAAGAAAAACTTGGAAATTTTTATTGAAACTTTGCAGGATGTTTATTTAGTCAATTATCTATTAGTTTATCACAAAAAATTGGAAGGAAATGCATTGCATGATAGATATAACTTATTTAAGTTGATTATATAGCGAGCTGACAAACATTGTGAGTGTAGAAAATATGTAGTAATTAATGAAAGAAGTTTAAACACACCATAATTATTTATATATAATGAATTAGTACAATATTTTACACTTTATACATTGCATGGTAAGATATATGAGTGACTTAGCAAGGTCTAAAATATCGGTAGTTCAAAAAAATATTAGTAGTTCAGAAATACGAAAATTTCGATGAAAATATCGGAATATTATAGATATTTTAGACCATAGTTACAACCACCACTAAATATCGGTTTCACCGGTCGTACTTTGCTCTGTGCCAAAAGTTTGGAAACTATTTTAGTTGACCATTGGCAGTCACCACTTTTAGACATGATAGTAAGTTAGTAACACCGAGGGCATTTGTTTTATGGATTGACTTATGGACTATGCACTTTTTTCTGGTGTAGCCCTATAAGATATAACTATTTTCACTTGTCATATAGTATTATGATATAATCTAGTGATATTACTGTAAGTGAGAGACTTTAGATTTGATTATCACCAAAAACGAACTTAAACCACATTATTGTTAGGATAATGTCATTTGTTAAAAAAAAATATTTACACTTAAAATTTCTATTTTATAGGAGATGATTTTTTATTTATTTATTTATTAAAGCTCATATTCTAATCAAACTGGAATTATAGGAAGAAAATTCGGATTTAGCGTACTGACTGCAACCTCTCTTATGAAAACATGAAAAAAAAAAATACACTGAAAATTTTACAAACATTTTAATGTGCTTTTGTATAATTGTTCATAATCAGCACCACATGATACATTGAACAATTTACAAACATTTTGATGTGCTTATGCATAATTGTTCATAATTAGCACCACATGATTTATAAAGATCATTCATATGTCTGTTTTATCAAGAAATTAAAACAATTTAAATTAAGTTAGTCGGTGTTAGGGCTGGGCACGGGCCAGGTAGAAGGATTTTGATTTTAGGAACAAGACCTAACCCGAACTGTTTCAAACGGGCTAGTTCGGGAAGGGTCCACGGGTCCGATCACTTTTTTTTTTTTTTTTTTTTTTTTGGGTTTTGGAATGGCACCGATCTGCATGTTATGGAATGCATTTGATCCTCATTTCAGAAAACCAAACCGTTCTTTGTTTCGCTGGAACTCAAGTTCCATATTTGTCTCTTGCAACATCTACTTGAAACTCATCACAGTTACGAATAGCGGATTCGAGAAGGATCTTAATCGAGAATGGCAGGTTCTCTGCAACGTATAACACCAATACCATAGTAAATTTCACCACAAATTTTCACACTTTCAAGTGAAATAAACAAAATTAACACTCTGTTTCCTTGCAGTAATCCAAAAGCAACTACTTTCCACAAACACAAACCACAAAGATTCAAACTTTCTACTCATTTCCCACACTTTCTCGGCAACCAAACAGAAGATATAAAACCAATAAAAGAAACAAACAAACCGATTATGGGATCGTTGAGAGTCGGCAAGCTGTAGTATTAGCCGAATTCGCCGCCGTTCAGCTTCTCCAGCGCCGTCAGTATCTTCTAAAACGAATTCGTTGCTGCTGAAACCACCCCAAAACATCAAAAATTAAAACAAAAAACCAAAAAATAAACAAATAAAAAGCTCCGATCAAGAAAAATAAATAAAAATAAAAGATCGAGTTGGTGGATAGTGATTGTACCCATTTAGCAATAAAGATCCGAGTTTTCGGTTTCGATTCAATTCGAACTTGAGTCGACGATTCGAGAGAGTGAAGTGAAGGAGGAAGAGGAAACACTTGACAACGTTATTTGTACTACAGGCAGTGCAGGGGTATATTCTTGAGGGTTGTTGAGCTTCAGAGGTGGCGATGGAGGTGAAGTCGGCGACTCGGAGTCTGAGTCCAACAACGAGTTTCCATACGAGGCAATCGGGGCCTCCATTCTAGTGACACTGTGACGGAGTCGAAAGGGAAAGAGATGGAGTGAGAGGGAAAGAGAGGAGCGAGAGAGAGGGATAGAGATTAGAGAGGCAGCTGAGACTTGAGAGAGTGATGATTCTGGAACTTGGCTTGGACTTGGGTAGACATAGGTAGAAACTAATGGTTGAGATTGAATGACAGGTTATCATTCAATCTTAGCCGTCTATTATAATTTGAAATGGGTCGGTCCGGGTACCCGTTTTTCTAAGTATTTGAACCCGGCCCGCCTCGTAAATGAAAAGGACCCGCCCCGTTTGTTTTCTAAAATATTAAGAACCAGCCCGTATCCACCCCGAACCATGATTACCCGTCCCGACCCGCGATTCCTGTACCCGTTTGCCCACCCCTAGTCGGTGTGGTTTAAAATGAAAAAAGAAAAATGTTAGTCTAAATAGGTAGATTTGATTTTGCCTTTGTGTAGCCTACCTTACCTAAATGTGAAACAACACTAATATATATATGTGTTGGTTTTGCCTTTATTGAAAAGACGCCATCCAGTTTTGCATCTTTTTCACTTTGAATTATATTTTGTTTTTTAACTAGTCAACATTGCCATGATGATTTGATATAATTATTATATTAATTTCTTTTTTTTTCGCTTATGTATTCTTGTTAATTGTTATAATAATTAACGAGAAACAAAAGTCCAACATTAAAGTAATATAGATTAAAACATAATGTGAGGATTAGATCTGAAGACATTACCACGTTTATACAACTTTCTATTGAAAATGTGAGCATATGTACATGTTTTATTGCCGACATTCCTTGAACCAATTATCTTATGAGATCTTTTTCATCTTTCTTTCTGCTTGTATTTTACACTTTTGGGAAGAGCTGAAAAGAATAAAGCCCTCACCAGTCAGTCACCATGCATGTCATTTTCCTACGAAAAAAAAATGATCACCTGAGATTGATTATTGAGGTGGTAGTTTAACTAATCTAATAAAATTAATTAGTCAATTTTGATCATAAAAAGAGGTTAATCTAGTTCAACTAATCTAGGTTTCCCTAGAGTGATTTCCTTAATTGTGTCATAGGCATTATAAAATAAATATGTTTTGACATATATGTAAATAGTATGATACGACCAATATGCATGTTGTAGAGAAACTTACATGCTTTGGAGTGATGAGATAACTGATGAGTGCTATACCAGGATAAAACCCTAAACC